GAGTTGATTCTAGGGACAAAAATCTCTGCCCAGGTTCTTTATCGAATGTCTCCATCAGAGTTGGCGGAGCTAAGGAGACAACTTAGGGGTTTATTGGACATTGGTTCATTCAGCCTTCCAAGGCACCCTATGGAGCCCCTATTCTGTTTCAGAAAAAGAAGGATGGATCCTTACGGCTTTATGTAGACTATAGAGCCCTCAACAAAGTCACTGTCAAGAACAACTATCCAATGTCGCTTGTTGACGAATTATTTGATAGATTGGGAAAGGCGATTTTCTTCACCAAGATGGATTTACGGCTGAGATATCATCAAGTTAGAATTACAGAGGGAGATGAGGCGAAGGCTGCTTGTGTGACAAGGTATGGATCATATGAGTTTTTAGTCATACCTTTCGGCTTAACAAATGCCTCTGCTACATTCTGTAATTTGATGACCAACGTATTTCGAGAATACTTGGATCGTTTCATGGTGATTTTTTTGGACGACATAGTTGTTTACAGCCAGACTCTTGAGGAGCATGTTGAGCATCTTAGGCTGGCCTTGACAAGGTTGAGGAAAACCCAGTTGTATCTGGAACTAGAAAAATGTGAGTTTGCACAGAAGAAAATTTCATTCCTTGCACTTATTATTTCTGCGGGCGTGGTGAAGATGGACTCGAAGAAAGTTGAGGTCATTGCAAATTGGTCTATTCGTACTAAAATTATTGAACTACGTTCTTTCTTTGGTTTGATAAACTATTATCAAAAATTTGTGAAGAATTATTTAAAGAAGATCGCGGTGCTAACTGATCTTCTAAGGTAGAATAGGACATGAAACTGGTCCTACGAATGCTAGGAAGCATTCGATCGATTGAAGGCAGTGGTGACGTCTAGCCCAATTTTATGGTCACCTGATTTTGATTTGCCTTTTGAAGTCCATACAGACGTATTAGACTTTGCTCTTGGAGGGGTGCTGGTGCAGAATGGGCATCCGGTGGCATTTGAAAGTAGGAAGTTGAATGATACAAGAGGCGGTATTCAGTACATGAGAAGGAGATGACAACAGTCATTCACTGCATCAATACATGGAGGCATTACTTATTGGAGAAGCATTTCCTTGTACTGACAGATAATGTGGCTACCAGCTGCTTCAATTCCATTAAGAAGCTGACACCAAAACAAGCAAGATGGCAGGACTTTCTTGCCTAATTTCATTTCACGTTGAAGTACAAGTCTGACAGTGCAAATCAGGTTGTTGATGCTCTTAGTTGAATCCCAGTTATTGATGGGACGGTTGTTGCACTTAACCAGATTGCAGGAGACATACTGCAGAGAATTTAGGATTAGACAAAAGATGATCCAATGACTAGCTTATTGTTGAAGTAGGTCCACGAAGGGGTGACTCGACGATTTTGGGTAGAAGATGGTGTTCTTTACGCCCAAGGAAGGAGACCCAATGTGCCGAAGTCAGACGGACTTCGACAGATGTTGTTGAAAGAAACTCATGATGCTCTGTGGTCAAGACATCCAGGGCAGTAACGAACTCTTGCCTTGCTAGCAGAAAATTATTATTGGCCCCGCATGGAAGCAGATGTGGAGTTGTATGTGCGCACTTCTTTGGTGTGCCAGCAACACAAGATAGAAAGGAAGAAAACGGCGGGTACGTTGGAACCTCTCCTTATTCCAAGCAGACCTTGGGAGAGTGTTTACATGAACTTCATTAATGACTTGCCTCAGGTGAACGATTTTACTTCAATATTTGTGGTTGTAGACAGATTTTTGAAGTATGCCACTTTCATTGCTGCCCCAAAAGTATGTACAACGGAAGTTACTGCTCAGTTGTTCCTTAAGCATATTGTGAAGCTTTAGGGTCTTCCGCTAGACATAGTTTGCGAGAGGGACACTCGGTTTACTGGCCAGTTCTGGACGACTTTATTTGAACTGTTGGGCACACAACTCAACCTTGCCACCAGCAATCATTCGCAGACAGATGGACAGACTGAATGGGTTAATACAATGCTGGAAGAATATCTTTGACACTATGTCACAGCAAACTAGGACAATTGAGTGGATTTACTTGATGTAACCCAATTCAGTTATAACCTCCAACAAAGCTCTTTCACTGGAATGAAACCATTTGAATTGGCTACTGGCCAACAACCTCTTACCCCGCAAGAAGTTGTCAAGCAGAAGTCTCAAGGGAGATGTCTTGCAGCATACTGCTTTGCTCGGGCCAATCAGGAGCGGATCGACGAGGTAAAAGACTATTTAACTAAGGCGGTGAAGATGATGAAAAAGTGGACAGAGGAGAAGAGGAGGGCAGTAGAGTTCGAAGTGGGTGACAAAGTGATGCTGAAATTGACCCCACTAATCTAGAACAAGATCTCTCGAAAGTCTGCATACAAGGAACTAATCCAGCACTATGACGACCCGTTCCTTATAACAATGAGGATTGGCAGGTTGGCCTATAGGCTGGATCTTCCCAATCGTCTCATGCTTCATCTAGTTTTCCATGTTGCCTTCTTGAAGCCTTATATTGAAGACCCTAACAGATACGTTCGGCGTCGAACTCCTTCAACAATCAGGAAGCAATTCACAGAAATAGCTGAAGCTATCCTTGACCACAAGACTAAGGGAATGAGCAAGAAAAATAGAAGAACTCATTACCTAGTCAAGTGGAAAGGGAAAGTGCCGGAGGAAGCCACTTGGGAGAAAGAGACGACATTGTGGCAATTCAAGAATATCATTATGCAATACCATGCCTCTATTCCAACGAGGTCTTTGAATAGTTCAAGTGGGGGTGACTTGTCACACCCTAACTGACTTGGGTGCAAATAGCCGGTCTTGGTGGCACCTTGCACCAAGGCATGCCATAAGTTGGAATCAAGGTGACGCGGCTAAGTAGTTCGACAGACTAGGACGAACCAAGGCAACATGAGAACACCCGGTTGAGCACGACAACACGTGGTGGGTTCAATTGAAACAATATGGGTGCATAGCTTCGGATTGTATGACATGGATTGAACCCAGCATGCACATTGGTTCGTGAAACAAAGCTGACTGTTGAATGTGGGCACTTGACTGACACATGGCTGCTTAATACATATGACCAGGAGGATGTGGGCAGTTGCAGATGCTGAGATATAATCAAGGCAGTTCTGATCGTCCCTTGTCTGAATTTAGTCCAGATGCATACTGATGAAAGACAGTTTCACATTAGTTGCTGAAAAGGGTCGAATTGCCTGCCTAGTGTCGCACAAAGACCAAGCCTGCTAGCCAAGTATGCTATGGAATAGCAAAAACGTGTGTAACTACCCCTTGACAGATGAGGGTGTCATCTGCCTTACTCCTGTATAAATAGGGGTGCTTGAGCATTCTGATAAGCAGAGTATTCTAACTTTGAGAGTTCTTGTAAATTATTGAGTTCAATATATAAGGTTTAAGAGTTTTGTCCTAATAAATTCGTGTGTACTTTGTGTGAGTTTTTGTTCTTTAGTCTTGAGTTTGTGTGTGGTTGGTTACAATAACAACGCCTTCACAGGTAACCTCGAAAGAAAAATGAAAATTATCCCGTGACAATGAGGATAGTTTGGATGACAAGCTTAAAATGGATAATACCTCTAGATTTAAAGTTTGTATAACACAAGACACAGCTTTGGTGACTCGATATACTTTCAAATTATTTTCGTTTAAAAAGAGAATATGACTAGGGTTTTAGAATCAAGGGTATCCCCATTAATGGCAATGACGGGTGTGATTACAATAATATTATATTCACTAAAAATGTACTAAATTTTGAATTTCAAATTAATATAAATCATAAGATCAAGAGGTCCTACAAACTCTTACCTAAAAAACTTTTCCGATACCATAGTCTTACCCTAAGACTAGATATTTTTTGAATCAGAAAGATTGGACTTATTTCAAATTAAATAGAACGCCAATTAATCAAAACCTATAGCCTGCCGAATCTGTAACCACCCACAACTAGATGCATTTGAGAACCAAGAGGTCATCTAACACGCAAATTCAATATGAACCAAATCATGTACCAACACAGGAAACAATTTCAAATAAAATTAAAAACAATTTATGTTAGCATCCAGGGGATATCCAAATCAGTTCCCACCGGGTAGGCAACAATTTACAAATCTAATTCAAGAGCATATGATGGCAAACCTTAAAAAGATGATTCTAGAATTATGACCTCAATTAGGTATGAATCCATACAAGGCTAAGAGATTTCGAGACAGAAATGGCTTATTCTTTGTTAGTCAAAATGTGTGGAGAACAATAATACATAAAGTACATAGTTTAACACAACGCTGCATTATTTTGATGCAACCATAAATAAAAAAAGGCCACACAGGCCCTGTTTATAACATAAAAAAAAAAAAAAAAGAGAAGATTTTCAGACAGCAGATGTAAACAAAGCAGTAAGTTGAGATCATGTTTATTGTTTCTTTTTAGGCATATGTTTCTTGTGGTTCCTTATTTTGGCTGATCTATCCGTTTTTTGCCTTTCGAACAATAACAGTGGACAAGTCTATTACTGCACAATCTCATACTGGTACATAAAATTATTTCTTCAAAGCACTGTTATGTCATGGAAAGTGCTTTAAGAACATGAGCTTATAGTTTTGCCACTTGTTCACTAAACATGGGGTCGATGCAAACAACCACCTGTAAGGTTTTTCCATTAAAAAACAAAAAATCAAAGCATGAAGAAGCAACTAGAGTCAATAAATAAGAGAGAATATGAGAAAACACAGACATTCCATAACCATTGCACATACCTTGCCAACACTTTTTCCCGAATGAAGATACTCAACTGCATCAGCAACTGAGTGAAGGCCCAAAAATCTTTTCGGATCTATGGCAACCTGTTATACAAAAATGAACAAGCCATTCGGCTTATGTCAAACCCTTTAAAAGCGAAGTTGACAAAAATAATTTAATTGGCATTCAAGTCGAAAGAGAAGACTATTTCTGTGTTTATGCAGACAAAATTTCCCCGCAAAGTCATGTCCAACAGAAGTTCATATCAAATGATTGCCTGCTTCGATGAGATCAGAATTGAGCAGTTCTATTGTTCTCTCCTTAGACCTTAAATAGACCAGAAGGCAGGTAGATTCTATAGTTCTCAAACAGTCAAGTTCTTACATATGGGATAGTTATGATCTGCTTACGTAAAAAACTGTTTCTTTTTGTTAAACTTCAAATTTACTGAATGCAGAGAAACAAATCCACTGAATGCAACGAGATCAATAAAAACCATAAAATACTCATACCAGCATTTGCAGAAATGATGATACATAGTGTTAACAGAACTGAGACATGGATTTCAGGAAAACAACTACACGTATGTTATTAAACAGTTTTGAACTTCCAATGGATAAGAGACAGAACTAAGTAGGATAAGTGATGAAAGCATTCAAGAAAAAAGCTGGGCCATTAATTGATACAAGACAGCAGCAAGTTGTTCAATATGATGTGTTTGTGCGGCCAATATCAGTGCATGTACCACTTGTGCATAAGTGCCTTAAATCATGCTGAGGTGCTGCTATAAGCACGAGGAAATACCACAAAATCTCCATCAAGCCAAAGTGAATTGTTAAAAGAAACATACATCTCCTTGTTCAATGGCATATTAGGACCAATGGTCAGAGAAAATTTCAGGAAGCAGCCCCTAGAAATTGTGAAGGCTTCAAAATAAGAGCCTTCCACAATTTATCTTCAAAACACATGAAAAAATTCTAAGGGGTAGATACTGAAAGCATACTTCATTTGGATACTCTTGAAGTCGTGTTATTATGATTCCGACGGGAATGATGACATTCAAAATTTCTCACAATTTTAACCTCATATTTCATCCTTATAAAAGATGTTGTAGCTCTATTTATTTGGTGCATATAGCTAGAGTAAACCCATACATAGGAATTAAGGTGTGGACTTTGTCAACGTACGGGAAAAAGAGGGGGGGGAGGGTAAGATAAGATTAGGAAAGAGAAACAGCCTATTATAACCAAAACCAGGAACAATTGAACACTAATAACCCATCTTGGTAGGCATTGCTAGCACCAACCAGCTTTGCCCAAACAAGCATTATGCAGTTGACATTCCCAACTGCTAAGACATGCTGACACATCAGAATTATGGATACACAGTAGACTAGATATGTTCTAGCAAGACGAACTCCATTGCGAACTGGAAGAAAACCTGAAATCCATCAGAAAAATAAGGAATTTTCAATGAAGATTTATTCGGCTAAGGAGTCCCTGCAATAAGGCTAGAACCTGATTTATAGAGAGACAAATCCTAAACCCACTAGGACTAGATTTCTTAATTAATCCAAAAAAAAGATGTAAACAGATAAACAGAAAATTTAGCTAACTAAGTGAAGTAGTGATTACAGGAAACCTCCAAGGAATCTTATTCAAAATAGACTCCATAAAGGAAAAAAACACTACTGCCTTTATTTGCTTTCTCGGACCATTGGCGATCCACCTGCTCCATAAAGTCTTCGACGACTTGTTCTACATCAGTCCCCTCCACTTGAAGAGAACTCATCCTCTAGTGAATTTTGGGATATAGTGGCTCTCCTGGTGGATAATACTTATAAAGATCCACAACATTAAATGTTTTGGAGATTGACATGCTATCAGGAAGGTTCACCACATAAGCATTATCATTTATCTTTTTCAGAATTGTGTAGGGACAATATTTCGTCGGCTTCAATTTATTGTAGGTGCTCACTAGGACCATATCTCCTTGGAACACAATTTATCTGCTGCAGCTTTGGACTTCACATTAGCCCCCTCAAGTCTCTTCTTTACTTCTGCGTGAACAGAATGAACTTGATCAGCCATGTTGCCCCCTGCTATGCTTGGACCTGGTGCATTCGGCAATTTGACCAAGTCAAAGTGCTTGCTTTGGAATTTTTCTGTAAACAATAGCGAATGGCGACATTCCGGAAGAATTGTGGACTGCACTGTTGTAGGCAAATTCAGCTTGTGGAAGTGAATTATCCTACTATTTCAGTTTATCCTTGCAAATTCAATGAATCAGGCTTCCCAAAGTTCAATTGACCACCTCTGTTTGCCCATCCATATGCAGCTGTGCAGTACTAATTTATTTCAAACTTGTATCAAATATCCTCCATAAAGTGAGCCAAAAATGACCAAGGAACTGAGTCACGGTCACATGTTATAGAATTTGGAACTCCATGCAGCTGCACAATTTCTTGAAAGAACAATTCAGCTACATGCACCACATCTGAAATCTTGCAACACGGAATGAAATGGGCCATTTTAGAAAATATGTCCACAATCACAAAAACAGAATCCACACCACTTCGCATCTTGGGAAGTCCTAACACAAAATCCATAGTTAGATCCTCCCACATATCCTTGGAAGTAGGCAAAGGCATATACAAGCCTGTATTTTGCAACTGCCCTTTAGCTGCCTGACAAACTTGACACTTTCGCACAAGATTACTCACATCTCTCTTCAATTGAGGCCAATAATACCTCTCCTCAACATTAGCCACTGTTTTGTCACGCCCCAAATGACCAGCAAGCCCACTGCCATGTAAATCTCGAATAATCTTCTCTCAACGACACACTGATGCAGAATAAAGACGAAATTTTGGATAAATGTGGTTAATCCCGTTTGAACAGGACTAATTATTTTCTAGTTAAATCTATTGGACAATTTCTAGGAGATTTTTATTTACTTCCTAATTTAATCAGCAAGTTATTTAATTTTTTTTTTTATATTAATTCGGATTTTAATTTATTTTATTTCCTAGTTTAATTAAGATTCTACTTTTCCAGTTTGATTAGGTTTTTTCTATTATATAAACTCTTGTATCTCTTAGGGCTCAACAATTTTTGGATGAATTAACAGTATTGAGAGAGTTGTCTCTTTTCTTCTCAGTTATTCTAGTATTCGTAAAAATAAACCTATTATTAAAGCTTTTAGGACTGATATTCTTGTAAATCAACAAGCCTAAAGGAAGATTCTAAATCGATATTTATGTCCAAATCAACGATTAGTTTCATTATCCTCCTTTTATTTATTATACACTTGTTTCTATCAACTTTCCTGCACCATGTCATTGGGAAGATATCTTTGTGCTCGGAAGAATAAACCTATTATTAAAGCTTTTAGGACTGGTATTCTTGTAAATCAACAAGACTAAAGGAAGATTCTAAATCGATATTTATGCCCAAATCAACGATTTAGTTTCATTATCCTCCTTTCATTTATTATACACTTGTTTCTACCAACTTTCCTTCACCATGTCATTGGGAAGATATCTTTGTGCTCGAAACACATCTGTTAACAACTTGCATGTATGTGGTGATGTAACTCCATTAGAACAAGCGATCAATACGTTGACTATTCAGGTTCATAAATTCACAGATGTCTATCAACCTGTCAATCGTATCCTATCTCATTTTGTAAGCGACAAGTAGACCTGCCAATGGATCGGATTCTGATCCAAATCGATTAGCCAATTACGGATTAATATTTTTTACCGATAATCCGAATCAAATATCTTATATTTCACATAATCGAATTTGGATATTCTTATATCCGATCCAATTATGATTCAATCCAAATTATTTATATTTTTTATATAAATATTAAATAAATTAAGTGATTATTTAAATAAATTTAGGTATAATTTGTTAAAATTAAGTTATTCGAATTGGATTTTAGGATTATTAACGGATATGGATATGAACTACAAAAATAACTAGAAATTGATTGGGATATACTCCCAATATTCGATGAATATCTAGAAGATGATTATCTAATTCTCATAAAAGATTTTGATTCCCTTGATAAATATCGTGAAGATGATTATCTGGTACTACTGAAGATTTGGAAAGGGTGAAGAGCCTAGAGGAGAACGTGGGAGTTGTCCTTGCAAACCTGCCCGAGCATAGTTTCATTTTTGTTCAGTCTTCTGCTGCGATTTCATTGCCTGACATGGAAAATAAATGTATAAATCTTGGACCCCATAATTTAGTGCTCAACAATTTGGTTGCCAAAAGTATGGAAAGGTTTGCACATGAGTTCATGGTGGGACCCCACAAAGTAAGCACTAGAAAAACATAAACTTTTCTCAAAAAAGTGTCAAACACCTGGCTGACAAACAATGGAAGGAGTTAAGCTGTGAATTAGGATTACAACCTTTGCAAGTGAAATTTTATTTCCAAATCAGTTATGCTATTCGAACATCTATTGAAGATCTAAAGATAGACATGTAGGAAGACATGATTTTTAGAGTACTTCAAGGCTCAAAATTTTGGGTCAGTCGAGGGCCAAAATTTAGACAAAGATCCATGTATCAAAACCAAATTCGATGGGTCGGTCGAAAGCCTAAATTCAAGCAAAGAATTCAATATTGAAGTTGAATTCGAGTTTAATTCGGATTCTACTTTCCTAGTTTGATTAAGTTTTTGCTATTATATAAGCTCTTGTGAGCCTTAGGGCTTAGTAGTTTTTGGATGAATTAACAGTATTAAGAGAGTTATCTATTTTCTTCCTAATTATTTTTGGTATTCGTAGGACTCAACAATTTATTGAAGCATTTAGAATTGATATTCTTGTGAATCAACAAGCCTAGAGTAGGAATTTAAATCGTTATTTGTGCGCAACTCTAACAGTTTAGTTTCATTATCCCCCTTTCGTTCATTATACCCTTTTTTTCTACCCGCTTCCTTGCATCAGATACCCTTGGAATACACAATTGATTTCCTTTGAACAAGTAACCATCCATAATGTGGAAGTCACATGCCGGCTATTTTAAGAAAATCTTTCCAATACATCAGGACCATATAGCTCCTTTAAACATTCAAACCAAACTACTTCACTGATTAAAGTAACCAGTAATGCAGCCGTAGGGCTCAAACCATCAGCTACTCAGTTAGTTGCGCCAGATTTGTGTTTAATTACATAACAGAATTGCTCCAAATATTATGCCCATCTTGCGTGCATCTTGTTAAGGTGCCTCTGACTCCTAAAATATTTAAGGGATTAACGATCAGAATAAATCACAAATTCCTTTGGAATTAGGAAATGCTCCCAATGCTTTAATGCCTGAATAACAACATATAATTCTTGCTCATAAGTAGACCATTTTTGCCTCGCCCATTCAACTTCTCACTGTGAAAAGCGATTGGTCTACCCTCCTAAGAAAGAAAAGAACCTAACCCAACTCCAACTCCGCTTGCAACATTCTACCCCAACTTCTCACTGTGAAAAGCAGTAGACATCAGGATGTTCTAGGAGTTATAATGCCCTATCTATAAAACTGTCACTGTTGCACACAAACCTTAGGATTTCAAACACCATCACCAATTCTAGCACACAACCGAGTCCTTTAAGATCCGTGTAGAACATTGGGAGTGCTTAGCCAAGCACACCACACCACCACCCGTGTACCTTAGCCATGCCAACTTGTTAACCTACTAACAGCATTCATTCAAGTGGTTAGGTCCTAGATGCCTATACTAATCCTACAAGACCTCAAATTTGAAATTTTTGCAAACTTGTTTCGTTCTACACATAGATTACATATTTGATTAATTTGACTACGATGTAACTGATGACAGGCCCATTTGCCTGTGCCTAAAATTGGTCAACCTTGACTTGTGAAACTTCATAGCTTGAAATATTCACTTTTTACTTAGTATCGAAGCCCACACAAACTTGTACACAGCCATGTCAGAAAAGTTCACCGTAGCTTGCTTTTTTTGACCGTGTGAACTAGAGGTGACAAAGGGGCGGGGTGGACAAGTTATAGGCGGATTCATAACGGACTGAGTGCAAAACAAATCCAATCCATTTTCAAACCGCTTAATAAATGGATTATAAACGGTTTGAAAATGGATTCAACTTGTTTTGCACCCGCAAAATAATCAAAATTCTTGATATAATCACATACTAAAAAAATAGGTGGACGGAAAAGGAGAAGAGGATGGAAAGATGCATTTTCCATTGTTTGGGTAGAGAAGAAAACAAGAGGGAAAGGAAAGTTGGGGGAAACATTTTACTCTCCACCCACCAAAACTTTTCCCCCATTTTGGCTGGAAAGGGTGACGAAACGCACTGAACATAGTGCAATTAAAATTGAATTTACTATTTTCCCTTTATTTTGGTAGTTAGGAAGTCTACTAAGCTGAAGGCCTTAAATTTTAAAATACTTTTCTTACTGGATAAGTCATCTGATGATTGCACAGTTCAAAAAAAACAAAAGCTAATCATCATTACATCAATTGCAAAACACAAGATTCAAGGCCTTGTTTGGAGAGAATCATTGTAAATTAATTATAGATGCTTATTCTTTCCATCCTTCTTTCTTCTACTATGCCAAACAATAGAAAATTTATCCATCCATCATACCAAACAAACATACCGAAAAATGTATTTTCAACCTCAATTGGAAAATCCATTTCTATTACTTTTCTTTACTCCCAATTTTCCTTCCCTCCTACCAAAATACACACACACTCTTATACACATACACAGTACACATTAATATACCAAAATACACACACAAACTCTAATACTCTGAAATACACACCAATAATAATACACCAAAATACACACACTCTCTACCACACCAAAAAAACACACATACTAATACACCGAACACACATTTACACACCAAAAAATACACATACACACTAATACACCAAAATATACATATTAATACAACAAAACACATATACCCACACTTATACACCAAAAAATACACATTCACTAACGCACCCAAATACACAATAATAAACCAAAAAACATAACTATGCACTAATATACTGAAACACACACATATACACCAAAAATTACACCCGCACACACACTAATAAACCAATAAAAATACACATACTTAACACACCAAAAACAGACATGCACAAGCACACTAACACCCCAAAACACACAAACACAAATACAGAGTAATATACACCCACACACACACCTGATGTAGATGTAGATCGTATTAGCTTGAGTCTTAATGTAGATTAAGGAGAAGATAATAGGGTGAGAATAGAAGAATAAAAGGATATGAGAAGTGAAGAATAGAATTACGGGAATGAGAAATAGAAAAGATAGAGGAGGGGAACAAGGCAATCTAGGCAAACATGCCTTAATAATATTCAATAAGTCAAGTCTAAATAAAACCTATATATGCATCCCTTTATATTGGAAAACCAAAACCCTAGAACAAATAAATAATAACAATAAACTCTCAAAAATTAAAAGAAATTAGTTAAAAAATAAATACTAAAAATATCCAAATAACTCTCAAAATTAATCTATAATATTTATTCATCCAACTCCTACACAATCCCCATTATTCTTCTCCGGTTGAGAAAAACTCTTCAACGAAGCATCATCAAAGCCAAAATACTCTAAGAGCGCATAATCAAGATGGTAGAACTCCTCTATATTGAAAGAAGGATCTATAGTTGTCCATTGAGTAGGATACTGTGGACAATATTCATCTAAAACACTAAAAATGTGGTTCTGCAACACATCATCTATCTGCCTTGGAATGTGCAATGAAAGTGGAGAGATAAGAACCGAAGATCGTGTTGAGAAAGGAGTAATTGCACTAGTAGGAATACCTGCTAATAAAATAAGAGGCTCTAGAGTGCCTAGATTAAGTAGCATGTCTTCCAAATAAAAATTCGGACTAATATTAACATTCAATGAAAAATTAAGCAAATTAGTATTAGATCCAAATTCAAGAATAAGAAAACAATTCCCATCAGATTTAAACAACAAGCATTCAATGGGACAAGACTTCAATGATAAAGGAGTAACAATAACGCCAAGTTGCTGAAAATAATTACGTACAAACTCAAGTGAACACTTGACAGTAGGTAAAGAAACAAAGTCAACAATCTTAAATTGAGAAGAATCCGTAACAAAGTCATGATGAGTCGGACAAATAGGCACAAAATATCACTAGTAAATTCTAAAATAAATGACTCAATTGGCTTAACATCTTGCATAGGTATAGACGCAACAGACTTTCCAACAATTTTCAAGACCATTGATGGTTCAAGAATTGACACAAGCAAAAACTCACACATTTTCTTTTGATATGAATTCTTGTGGGTGCAAAGGAGGACAACTCTGATCCAATGAAACTAAATGAGGGAGTTGGAAGTCAATACGAGTAATATTTTTCTCTTTATTCGAAACTAGCATATCTAAATTCTTTGCCACATTCGAATTAGGAAAGCATGTAAAAACAACATAGACATCGTTCAAGTAATCATGATACTCATATGTGGTAGAATTAAAATTGAAAGGTGTCCTGTCACAATATTTAGCAGATTGTGATTGAAAACCTATCAAGTTATAATTGGATTTCTTATGAAATTTCTCAACCTTTAGAGGATATTGATATGCTGTAACAAACGTATTAGAGTGTAAAATTTGACCTCCCTTCTAATTTTTTGTCTCAACCCAAGAATAAACTGATCAATTGGTCAAGGTTTTTCAATAATGTCATACAAGAACATGAGATAATCGAACTGAGCAAAGTAATCAAAGACATTAGAAGAATGTTGTCTAAGATTGAATCATTGGTCATAAACTTGATCCGTATTGGAAGTAGGCAAATACTTTCTTTCAATTTATATCTCATGTCAACCAAAGTGATAGGTGATTCTCCTAAGTGGTCTAGGCTTCTTTAGATTGCTTGCCAATACGGCTTGGCGGAACTTTAAAACATCAATTTAGCAAAACAGACGCAATGAGAATCTAACATGCCATACCAATCAAAATATTCTTTTAAATGAGCTAACCAATCCAAAAATTGATTGGGATCCGGAGTACCACAAAATATACATTGTATTTGCTTGATTCTTAATGTAGATTAAGAATGTAGAATTTTCCAAAATATAGAACTGCCCAAGAAGTTTTAGAAATTACAGAGTCTTCCCCCAAAAGTTCCAAAAATTGCATAATTATCCCCATAAAGTTTCTAAATTTCAGAATTTCCTCAAAGCAAAGCTTAGATTATGGTATACATACTCTTATAAAAATTTGAAACTGATATTTTTATTTATTAAAAAATTAAAAAATTTGAAAAGGGTCCAAATCATATGTCAATTACATTTTTAAACTTGTTTTGGTGTCATTCCCCTTGTTTCAAGAGTCACTCGTGCGTATCTATGATGCCTTTAATTCACATATTTACTCCAGTTTAAGAGTCCCTCCTTGAAGTCATCATCATAACAAGTCTAGGTATGTCTACAAGGATTCAACACATATGACCAAATCAATTAAAAATCTTTCTACATTTTGTAGTACTTCGGATCCCAATCAATTGATGTAGAGTTGATCTACATCAAATTGATGTAGATCGTATTAGCTTGATTCGTAATATAGAATAAGGAGAAGACAATAGGAATGAGAATAGAAGAATTAAAGGAGATGAGAAATGAAGAATATAATTAAGAAATTGAGAAATAGAAGAGAGAAAGAGGAAGGGAACAAGGAGATGTAGGCGGACAAGCCTTAATAATATCCAATAAGTCAAGTCTAAATAAAACCCTTACATGCATCCCTTTATATGGGAAAACTAAAACCCTAAAACAAATAAATAATAAGTTAATAACAAATAAACCCTCAAAAATTAAAAGAAATTACTTAAAATATAAATACTAAAAGTATTCACATAACTTTCAAAATTAATCTATAATATTTATCCAACTCCTACACAATCCTCATTAACACCAAAACACAACACTCACACACACTAATACACCAAAATAAACACACTAATACACAAACACACACACATACACTCATACATTAAAACACATATATACTAATACACCAAAATACATACACACTAACATTTTAGTGGTTAGGTGTATTAATGTGTGTGTTTTAGTGTCTTAGTTTGTGTGCATGCGTGTTTCAGTGTATTAGAGTGTGTGTGTGTGTTTCGTTGTATTAGTAGGTGTGTATTTATAAGTTCATAATCCAATCACCAACAATTCCCAGAGGTAGCCTGGGAGGAAGCCGCACAGTTGCAGCAATGCCACACCATAAGAACGGTGATTGTACTCTGACATTCCATTATAAACTTGAAATGGAGTAGATTTGGTCAGTACTAGGGTTCAAATCGATTTTATCCCAAATAAATTAACAACCAGTCCCTTTTCCCCAAGTGTACTAGGATAGCAACCCGCATTAAGAACAATATAGTACGCTTGATTGGAAGCAAAAACTTTTCATAAGATCTTACAGATATTCAAGTATAAAGGTGGACTGGGTAACCACCTTATATAAAAATGAAACAAACTAGACGAGTACACTAATCCCCATGGAACAAAAAAGTAGCTAATTACTACGAAAATGAAACAAACTAGAAGAGCACACTCAGAGGCGGAGTGCCCACCCTCAAATTTTTTTTTTCTAAAATTACTTATATATATTTTAAGTATTTTTTCAATATATTAAATTGTGTCCATCCTAGTTTTTAATCAAGACCAAAAAATGCATGATATATTCATGAGTTTACTTATAATTTTAACATTTATTTTAGTAATTATCATCGACATGATAGATAATATATTTTATTGTATAATCGAATGAATGATAAATAATCAAGTGATAATATGATTGTGGATATAAATAATAATAAAGTTAATGCAAGACTTTTAACGTATAAAAATTCATCAAAGTCAATTCTAAATAGTTTTGATTAGCCTTTGTTTGGTAAAAGGACATATATTTTTTTTGTCATTTGTATCTAGTATCTACTATACTTAGTAATTTTAGTCTTTTAAATTTAATGAACTTTTAATAATTAAATAGGATATAATTAAATATAAATGTATTATTCTATTTTTATCAATTACAAGAAAAAAATTAAGCTTGTTAAAATATACAGTGCCCACCCTGAAATAATTTTCTGGCTCCGCCCCTAGTACACTTATCCACGAAACAAAAAAATAGCTAATTACCATTGCCAAACTTTATGCCATACAGATCCATATTATTGATAAAATTTTAAAAATTTGAGCTAGAACGGCTAGCCTATTTAGAGTAAGTGGGTCTCAATGTTGCTCTTTCATAGACAGGTCTAAATAAGAGAACTAGGAAACTAATATTTAATAAAATTCTGAAAAGGCAAGGGTTAGAGTAAGTCACCTGTAGTCAGTGAGAGTCAATTCTGCATAATAGTAGTTATTATCTAAACGATGATTCAAATTTACATTCAATATAAGCATGACTTTTGGGTTGTTCCAGAAATAAGCTGCATGATTGAACAGAAATTGCATGATGGAACCTTAGGAGTGGACACAACACAAATATAACAAGAAGTGTTGGGCATATATATCACCTTAAGCTTTCCCAAGGTGAAAAGATGAACCAGCCTGTCCAGATGCTGTTGCCATAGGTGACTATATTGTACCAGGAAAAAGCCAGCCTGACAATGTTGGAATCTTCATAACAAGAGGACAAAAAGAACGCAACATCTTGTGCTTTAAATTTCTAATCCCTTAAAGGAGTCATTGAAATGAATACCAAATTTTAAACCTCATTTAAGGCAGATAAAAATAAATGACAGTGATAATCAAGAAAACCTTTCGAATCTATATTTTATATTTATTTAGACATGAAATTTCAAGACTTTTTAGAGACTCAGAACAAATTCCTCACTCAATGCACAACTCAAATTTGGAGACTGATACATATGGAACTAGACCCCATTGTCCAAATCATTCATTTAATGCATTCAAAGTTAGGCTATCTGTTTGAACAAAAAAAGTTAGGCTATCTGGATAAAGTCCAATAAGTTTACATTTTGGAAAAAAATAACCTAATAATTAAGGCAAAAGCAATTATCCTTGAAACATCAGCAAGGGCATGTAAGTTACTGAAGTGAAAATGCTCCAATACTAGTCTTGTAAAGTATGCTAGCTTTTTTTTTTTTTTTTTGGGGGGGTGTATTTTGGTGAGATAAGCCTAACTACATAATTTTGCTACGAGCATCCTTTAACTTAGACACTAGACAATCTGCATATGAGACTCTAACAATGACGTAGAAGCTGCCAATATTCTTTCATGTCTACTTGCCAAGCAAAGAGATTGAACTAGTTTGCATTAGGAAGTGAGCCAAAAAGAATTTGGGTATATGCACATATTATTAAATATCAGAACAACTAAGCAATACACAAGCACCAAAACAACACCACATGCACATCGTCATCACCATAACAAAGATAATCACAAAAATGATATGTAACGATAAAGATTATAATATCGTAATAATGTTTGTCCTCAAGACTATGAAAGTTGATTGCAGTAACATATATTGGAGGTTATAGTTACTCTATCAACTAAACTTATATATCTTGATCGTTGACCATCATGAGAATGTAAAGAAGCATCATGAAGCAAAGAGACATCAGTTTTGTACAGCCTACTAGTGCATCAAATTAGTAACCAGATACAGTACATACCACAGTTTGGCTTTTTGCGAGAATCTTCTCACATAGTCCAGTATAATTTAATGGCTTCCATCCATGTTCTCCTTGATACTGAAACGACAACTTATTAGTTCACCAATAGAAAGCCGTATTCATGAATTACCAATCAGTGTCGACATGGAATAAACTGATGTAACAAATTTAGACTTCAGAATATGATCATTAACACTCAGTTCAAATGGGATCTATGCAACAATGATCTTAAACTTTTTTGGTTTAGCCTCAAAAAGAATGTCACATGACACACAACTCCAGAAATTTTTTAAGTGTCTTACACATTTCTAATTAAAATGTTGACAGAATTATATAAATGAAAAAAATTGATCCTCCTGAATCTTACAATCATGCACCAGGAAGGAGTGACACGCTGTAACAGGAATAATATTGAAATAGTGATATATTTGATGTGACTACCACATCAACCTGAGGAATCTATTATTTCTTTCTTTTGATAGGTTACCTGAGAAATCATCCCAATAACAACTAGTCGCCCATAGATCGCTAGCGCATTCAAGCATAGATTAAACATTTCACCACCAACAGACTCATAGATGATGTCAACACCTTTTGGGAACTCCCTTTTTAGAACCTGGAAAAGTTGAAGTTAAAACTTTACTGACATGAAAATGAGGACAAACAGTAAATGTAATCAGATAATGATGCACCCATTCTTTACAAGAAGTTGGCAATGTAAATAGAAGGTTGAAGGTAAAAGTAGGCCTGTAACTGCATTCGGTTATCGACTTATTGGATACTCTAATCACTACAGAACCCATGTCGGATCAAGCGTCATATAATCGAATAGGAAAATGAGTAACCACATAAAGTAACAGGAGCAACATAGTCATGGTGAAAGACATCATGCCACATTTTGAGGACATACTCTGTAATATCATGGTATCTTGGGGAAGTCTCGGTGAACTTATAAACTCGGGGGAATGTGAGGACATGTCTCAGCATAGAGACTGGAAAAAAACTAGCCCACAACTTCAAGTGCATTCTCCAACAAAAACACACTGAGAATTATTCTATGCACATGCAGTTAAAGAAATACTATCCAAGTCATAAGGTCGCTAGAACACAGATTTTTGGTCAAAAGCTCCAAATATATGGTTGTCACCTTTAATATCAATTCCACATTTGGGTTTAGATATTATTTGGAATATCACAGAGATATTAAGATTGATTGATATTCAAGAACACCGAGCCCAGCTGGGTTGACCAACAAACTAGGTGCACACTGGATAAGTTGTTCTCTTTGCAAGATAAGGTAGGTTGATCCCATAAAAAGGAAAAGTGACTGACAAAAACTCAGCATGCAGACAGAACCATAATGCAATTCCAAATAATTCATTCTTCATCACATAAAAACGTTGAGTTGTATACCTCTGTCAAATAAGTGGGGTGGAATCCCCTATGTTGCCATAACATTAATATCTTGAGGGCCTCATGTTACCACAATTAATCCTTTAGGAAGATCCACCACTGTGAAAACATATAGCATGAAATCTATAGCAAAGAAACATGTTGCAAGTTTATCACGTAAATCTATAGCAAAGAAATCCATTTGCGGGAATATATTGACCAAATAAATGGATAAGAGGACAAGCAGATTTGTGATCAAATTCTAGTAAGTCAACAAGTTTATCAATAACTTCTACACGTCTAAAGAGGAGCAGATAGGATCTGGGGTACTATGAATCAATTTTCTACTAGAGCTTGTGTAGCCTTATAAACCTGGCTCGAGAGAATGGGACAAGTTTTTTATCCCCCTTCATAGGTAGCTTTCTTTCAAAAAGAATGCATATCTCAATGAGCCGACTGAGGTAAATTAGTTGGCCATTGTATTGCCATCAAATAATGAACCAGTGACGACCCGAAAAGAAAAAGGAGTACGAAACATAGAATACATTACATAAATCTGAGCCACGTACAGTTTTGATATCTTCTGCTTTGTAGTCTATGACCCGATCAACACCCAAATCGCTCAAAAGCATAGCCTTTTGTTTACCTCCACAAGTTGCAACCACTGTATTTCCAGCTAATTTTGCAAGCTGCAATTACCACAGCTCAGTATTAGCAAACTTGTAATCGTAATGAGGGTAAAAGGAAGGAACATTATTTCGTAATCCAATAAAATATGATACTGTGAGGCATAGCACATCAATAGACCGCTATAGAAAGTTTTAGGAGAAAAAATAAGAGTACAAACCGTGATTGAATGGGAAAAAGAGTTTACCTCCAAGATGAACTAATCTGTTTTCAGAAGATCATAAAAATTCCCCATCTAGTCAAGTAATCCTACTTATATATCCCTTTACTTTCACTTAACTGTTTTAGCACTGTGGACATTCATCTTAACTAGAGCCTCAGCACTTCGAAAACTGTCAAATATACTGTCCGATTTGTCTTCGTTCGCAATTTTTATGGAACTTAATATGTCTGTAGGGAAATTTACAAGGGGTGCATAGAAAGTACAAGAGCTAGAATGGGAAAAACATAAGCTAAGTGGAAAGAAGAAGAAATGATAATGATTATGATTAAGCAGCAATTACACAAAACACAGGAAGCAAGAGAAGAAACAAGAAAGACTGAATTAGAAGACCAAAAGGATCTGATATGGTTTTTTGAACAAGTGAAATAAATAGGCATCCACTAAATTATTGTCCTTTCATCCTTTGTGTAGGATGTTGTTGGCCATATACTGCATGACATGTATTTTTTTCATATTAAAATATTTACCTGGACTGCAAACTGTCCAGTCCCTCCTGCAGCAGCAGTCACCAGAACTATTTTTCCCGAATCCATTTGTGCTGCCTTCAATTTCAAAAAAAAGGACATGATTGAAAGTCAACAGAAATGTGTGATCTAAGTGGCGGATAAAAATGACATGATTGATACAGCTAAATATTGAACCATCATTTGTTCCAAAAGCTTAAACCGTTAGAAATGATACAACTAACTTAAATATTTGTACTCAAATTGAAGTATAGTACTATGGTGAACCACCATGATATTACCACGTTAAGTATTTATACTTCAACCCAAAAGTCTTGCTACAATAGCTGAAAACTTGGATATTGTTGAACAATGGTCCGTTGACCAACTCCAAACTATTGTGTCAAAGTCTCGAACAAAAAGGGAAGAGAAGAAGTTTTGAGAGAAGGGGGTAAAGGATAATCACTCTCAAACAACACCATAAATACAGAACAAAGGCGTAGAAAAGAATGAAAACTAAGGAAACGAATCCTAACAAGATGATAAAAATTTTATGCAATAAACCTTTTCTAGAGCAATTGATGCCGTTAGTCCAGATGTAAGCATGGCAATGACTTCTGGATCTGGTCTTGCCACAGGAAGGACGTGCTTTGAGGGTACCTAAGTTAAACAAAAGCTAATGTTTACAAAACCAATCGTCAAACCTATTGTGAATATGTATGATTGTATTCATTAAATATTTCAAAGGATGAACCCAAAAGAAATAAAACATGTATTTTGAAAAGTGTACCATCGTGAATTCAGCATAACCTCCAAAAGTCATGATTGCAGCTGGAGCGCCAACTTTAATGTTATTAACAGAAGCACCAACTGCAGCAATTATTCCCACAGCCTACAACATGCAAAGAGCCAAAGATAGAATTTTGTGAACAGGGAAAAGGATTTGCTAGAGGATTACCCATGCACCACTGGTCACCAAAACTAGCAACAGGAAATGTGGTGATTTTAAGGCTGAGCTAAATAAGGTTATAGTTGACGGCACGTAACAGTATTTCACAAGTCTTCAAAAACTTATCTTGATTTCTCAAATTCAGCTCTATTAAGTAATACTTCACAGACTGTTCCACTGTTCCTGCTAATGAGGCTAAGATTACGAAATAGGAAACTTTGACCACTAAGACCATTCTGGACCAAGCAAATTCTCCATGTAAAGAGTCATTAACTTCACTTGACCTATAATAAGACCCATTGGCCTTTCTGGCAACCCATGTATGATCCAAATTTACTAACCTTTCACTCCTAGAATTGTAAATAAGCCCAGCAGCAACTAACTCGATATTAACACAATTAAGGACTTTATTCTTGGAGGCCACAGATTTTGCTTTAAGCTTGACACTTAGGAGATCTTTCTAGCCAATCAGTGGTTACAACATTATAAAATACAGTAACAACCAATACTACCCCAGACATGAAAGGGAAACTGAAACCAAAAATAGATCAATAACCGTAAATCTGAGACACAAGCAGAAGTGCACACATGAGAAAAGATTGTATGCTGTATTGCATCTGCTAACCAACTCGATATTAAAATAATTATGGATTTCATTCATGGACCCTACAGATTTTGCTTTAGGCTTACCACCTATGAAATCTTTCTAGCAAATCAATAGTTACCGCATTATGAAGTACAGTAACCACTTTGACCACAAAAAAATGTACAGCAACCACCAACATTGCCCCAGACATTAGACGGAAACTGAAACCAAATAGATCGATGACACATAAACCTGACACACAAGCAGAAGTGCACCCATGAGAAAAGATTGTACGCACTTTATTGCATCAGTCAAACCTTACAAAGGCTTGAATAGATATCAAAATTTCTCTCTTTATATACATCAACATAAACATGCCAACACAATACACACATGTTTCATTTAACCATTATCTTTATCTAAATTTTAAAATATCAAGAGGGATTCTTTCTGCTTCCAAGCAACAACAATACATAACAATTACAAATACACACCAACATGCAAGATAAATGTCAACATTACCTAGATATTTCTAGAAAAGAAAGTATTAACGAAGAAATCCAAGTGCATAATGAATTCAAATGACTCGTAAACCCAGCACACAGTCAACGCTAAATTGATCATGTTTAGCTCTTGTTCCTTGAACAGAGCAAGAGTATAAGAGAGTACAAACATACATACTGTACAAGACTGACAATGCTTGATTTGCTACATGTTTAGTCAAACCCGGCCAAGCCCCTAATGGTGAAACACCCACTTCATCACCACTCCATTTTGTCATCATTTGTTACCATCACACAATAAAACAACGTTTCAAAAGCATTTGTGTATAGTGCAACTTGGGACCCCACATATCCTAGCTATTTAACACGTCTTTAATGTTAATTAACCTTCATCTTCAAGTTCAACAACAGAACATCAAACAACACCCAGTTGTATAAACTAACTCTCGCTCCCTCTTAATTACGAAAGCAAGCAAGGAAATTCTTGGTGCAAGCACTGTTGTATAATGTATCAGCAACCAGGGCGAGAACGGGGTTCACCCATCCTAACCCTGTCTCGAAGAACCAAGATCGGGTTTTCACTTCTCTTCCACACCCACTATTCTAAGTGCCCAGATTAATTGTTCCCCCAAGGCCACCCTAAGAAGGGCAGGGTGGGTTAATTTTTCCCCCATGGCAGCAAAGCCTAGAGACCACCACCCAAAAAAAGTACTTACAAAAGCTGACCTAATAACAATGGCCACTGAATCATAAACCTAACACAAACATTCTGCATCAGTGACTGTGAGACCACAATCAATCGTTGTTTGTGGAAAACTCGGAAGATTACAGAATAATGTAGACATATACAGAGGAGAGAGGATTTTTTTCTTAAAGAAAAAGGAACAAAAATGAAAATACTATAATATTGGACAATGAACGAAAATACTCTTTAACAACAAAAGAAGAAAAAAATCAACATTCAATTCTGCTTTGGCTAAGATAATGACATATTGAATAGAAATTTGTCAAAATCCTACCTTGAAGAGGTATAGAGGTTAATTAGGCTTCATGAACAGCAATAAGCTCATCATAACATTGTGTACCAAGCCCATAAATAGAATATTGTAAGAAAAATATAAGCACAAAAATAGAATCACTTCCACATGTTGGATCAATTTATGAATTTATGAAATAATAATAAGATCAGCATCAACACACGAAGGAGTATTAAGTATTTTCTATGCACCTCGAAACCAGCATCAAATGGGAGACGAGCGCCAATGTCTTTGCTGTTGCCACTGAAATAACGGCCAGAGCTAAAATTCACCTATCACAAAATGCCCACGTTAGTGAACAATCTACCCGAAGAGAGATGTTGGTCACCAATAAAGATGTTGGCTGGCCAATGTCAGTTCAAGTCTTAAAAAAAAGGTGAAAAACACAAGCAGTAAAATCTGTATGTCTAATAAAAAAAAACTGTAAATCTGAATGGTGATATACGTTTAAGTGATGTACATAGTATACAGAGATTATGCTCACTGATGAAGGGGGACAAATTAGAAAGGAAAAAAAAGCATAAAAACAAACTCGAGTAAAAAATGAGAAATTGTAATATTTGTGTTGTATCATGTTCTCCACCTAAATACTTACCTATTCTTCCTCGTACTGCAACTTTCACACATCTTTTTTGCTAGAGAATACAACTCAAAACTAATTGTCAAGGGAGTAGAGACTAGAGACGTCCCTCAACCACCTTCCACAGTGGGATACGAGATTACACCCTCCCTCACGGGAGACCCGGGCCACCAAGTGGCCTAGCAAACAAACAAAAAAAATACATATTAAAGATTTAAATGGGTAAACAACTTCACAACCAGCCAAGGCCTGCCTGATACCATATTAGAGACATTAAACCTAAAACCCATTGGCAATAACTGGATAGGATTGTGGAATACAAGCTCTCTTCACACCCTCCCCACATGAGACTCAAGCTCGCACACAAACCAACAAATCAAATCCAAATAGACAGCCAAACTCCCCACATGAAACGGCCAAAACTATGTTGTTTTCCATGAGACGGAAATGAATCTGGCAACATTCCAATGCTTCGCAGTGTTTCAGAATATTTCAAAATATTTCAGCATGTTTCGAGGCGTTTTAAAATGTTTCGATATATTTCGACCAATATTTTGAAAATATATTCCCAATTTTTTATTTGTTTCCATTCTAGTACCAAAATGTTCTTAAAATATTTGTAAAACGTTTTCCTTTTCTAGGTGACCGAAATAATATACCGAAACAAATTTTATCCCGGAAATAGCTAGAAAAACATGCAAGGCCCAAATCTAATATCAGTTTTGAAGCATTCAACCCAAAACCAATTGACAAGGAATGAAAATACCTCTCAACAATATAAACAGAACTTGTTTTCAATGTGGGGTTTAAGTTATATTTACACTTCATCATTTATTGTGAGGGCTAGTCAAAAGTACAACATCTCCCACATAATCACTAGATATTCATTAATTGATATTCACTAAACAATCAATGGATCATTCCTCCCGGTATCAAGTGAATAAATAATCTTCAGGTGTGTGTCCATCTAACGGTTATAATAGGGGTAGGAGGCTGTTTATATTAGCCACAAAGAAAAGGAGGATTAAGGAAAATGATGGGGAGCTGATTTGAGTTCCGAGAATAGCTTAAATGCCGCAGAAAATAGACTCCATTTACATCTAAGTCCTATAGTGAAACCTGATTTCCAAATACACTTGAGACTTAACAGGCATATTGAAATTCAAAACAAGAACTAGAGACATCAAAGTCAAAATAACGTGACCGAGAAAGGATAAACTGAATTTCACCTTCAACCACCTTCTAAGTACATAAAAATAAATAACAGAAACTACACGTTAGTCACGTAGTCTTGAGGCTTTTGTCACACAAGTAAAGGCTAGTCGAGAATCAGAACATCTATGTTGATCCTAATTAAAACAGAAAAATGCAAAATAGATCTGAGTGCGCACAAACTTACATCACTAGCATTAACACCAGCATATATGATTTTCAAAAGGACATGATCTGGTTTGACTGGTAATCTCAACGGCCTGCGCACTATGCTTGTAGCACTACGGAAATTGTGACTCAGCGTGTGAACAATTCTAGAAAGCAAGAAAAATAAAAACAAATGTTAAAAAAGTAATCAAGCAATCTGTTGGGGATTGCATAACCATGAAGAACCAAAAAATTAAAAGCATGCTTGCAGAAAGGCAAGATGTAATTGTATGGGAAGACACAAATAGTAGAAGAGTGAACCAGAAAAATGAGAGGCATATGCTGCTGCAGACTATAGTTCTGCTTCAGTGAAGATAACTCAACTGAAACCTAGTGGTCATTGTTATTCACCACTTCAAAGAACTTAGGTCTTAAACTCATGTGAAGAAGGGCCCCTTTTTTGTTGGATCCATATGATGAAGGTGTAGTTCACAGATTACCATGTCCAACAACAGAACTATCCAAAAAGACAACCAGAATTGTAACTTTCCTCTTTCTCAAAGCAAACCAAAAGCTTTGCAGAGACTTTCACTTACATCTTATCGATGCTCTCCGGAATTTGCACATTCAGTGGGACTGTGAACGAAGATTTTCTTCTCAATTTTGTAGAATGCACCAGATACTTTGCTTCTTCTATAGGAGTAGGCCAATATTCCATGCCTCTACGTTTAGTAATCCATAAACAGGATCCAGACTTACTCTCATCACTGATAAGCTCAAAGGCACCTGAGAAGTCAAAGATTGCAGCATCAAATTGGAAATATAGGCTGAGGTTGGCAGATAATGATATTATGATATACTTTATAGAAGTTCCCTTATTGCGAACAAATCTATTCTAGTCATATTGCACCCTGGATATTAACTTATAGCCAAGGAGATCAATAATGTATTGATACAAGTGAAGGTTATATCCTTGCTTCTATTTACTTTAAATAAAAATCTGTATTAGGTTGCTAACCACCTATGAATCTATGACTTTCTTTCAGGGAAAAAAAAAACAGTATATCCTTACTTGAATCATGCAACATTGTTTTTGACATCAGAATTTGCAGCCTGATATGTAAATATTCAAGTTTATAATTGCAAAGGTTGAACTCATGCAATCAGCGGAGAGATATAGATGGGCACACACATGGGAAGGAAGATACCTTTCACCACCATCTCCATAGGAACATATCCTCCCATTAGACCAATAAACTTAGAACTCACCTTTGCAGCCAACTCAGTTTCAACAAACTGCAAGCAGAATAGCATGTCAACATAACAAATTCTGCAACAACTCAAATGATTAAAGGCATGAATAATTGCTTGGATCAGCACATAAGAACCCTGTACCCTGCGCTACATCTACCGATCACCATATAATCATATTGGAATGATCTAATTGACTACTACTTTGCACTAGAGATTGAGATGAAGCCCCTTGGATAATAAGGTTAAAACAAGTTCATCAAACTAAAACTTGTAATAGATACCAGAAGATATTATGATAAAAGGGGGAAGAGGTGATTGCATAAATTCTTTGCACGTAAAGAGGTGATTGCATAAATTCTTTGCACGTAAAAGATGAGTATAGCTAACACATATACATGGTAATTTGCCTCCAAATCCAGAAAAAGTTACCAAGTGACCCACATGGCATGTGAGTCAGCTTGCTTATAGCATACCTATGATTGTTAACCTATACCTGAGATTCGTTAAGCATCAGGAGAAAAACGGTCATATTTCTGGCATTCGAAGAAACTATTTCCAATGTCAACAGAAAATATGTTTATTATTCAAACAAAGTTAATTACTCATCATCTGGCTGGTCGGCAGTCCATATGTCATCTTAGATAGATGAAGTTTCATTGCAGCAGATTCATTTGTTAATACGAAAAAGTTAAGTTATTTAGCAGTAGCACATCTGCTTATTATTTGATAGATGAGTAAACTCAAGGTATTATCAAATAAACAGAGATCATATCTCACCACATTGGTGAGGACTCCTGAAGAAGTCATATATGAGATACATTTGTAGTTGTATGCATGTGTTATAATGCATATCTGCGCCTATAACTAGAAACATGATTCTTTGATAATATTGCTTCTGGGGGTAACTTTTGTTTCTTGCCAGCAAACAGATGTATCCACAATTATAAAGACAACTTTTACCTCCGGGCAGAGTACATTAATACGAATTCCGTGACGCTTGTAAGGAGCAAGTGATCTGGTAAATAGTACCACACCCCCTGTTTAGAATTCAGGAAAAAAAATCAAGGCCCAAAAACAATACTAAGAGACACAAATCAAAACTTGTGTATTTGCTGTGAGGTACATGTGCATTAAGTGTATCATGGACAAATACAAATCGTCAGTCAAAACTAATTACAGAAAAAGGAAAAAGGTTAAAACTATAGACAGAATAATCAATAATGTGCAGAAGCACAAAACAACAGACCTTTGGAGGCTGAGTAGATCGGATCGTTATACATTGGATAAAGTCCTGAAGCAGACCCAAGGTTTATAATTACGCCAGGCTTCTGTGCAGTTTGCATTGCTTGAATCTGCTCACCACATTTAGATCAGTATGCAAAAGCTGACAAACGAGAAAGACCAAGAAACAGAACATGAACAATTTAAGCAAAGAACAAACCATCTCGGAACCAGATGCAATCTAGAGTTGATAGATGTAGAGGGAAAACTCAAAAAAAATACCATCAATACAAATAACTCACAACAACAAGCACAACAGTCAATACAAATAACTCACAACAACAAGCACAACAGTAACTCTACATCTATCAATCGTTGTTAGAGAACTTGGAACTAAATATTTGAAGCAGTCAACAGCAAGGATAAGAGGTGATAATGTAACGCCCCGATTTTTCGGAATGCGTCACTTGATTAAATCAATCGATCGATAATAAACCACAAATAAATATCCGAATATAAGGTCATAGCTCTATTTGCCTCGATAAATTTATAATCACAATTTTGATCTCCAAATAATAAAAATAATCTCCTCATTATACAAAGTTAAAAATTATATCAAGATTCATCCGTCTTCGATTTCTCAAATATCAACTCTGGTTCTTCTCTCCGAGATAATCCTAAAAAAATATTAAAGGCGGGGAAGTATACACTATGACAAGAAACAATATGCTCAACGAGAAAAGAATATGAATGATCAAATACCAAATAATTCAATCGATAGACGATCATAGATAAAAAAATCCAGAATCCAGAATCCAGAATCCAATTCGATAATTCACATAACTCAATATCTATCAAATATAACCTCATACTCGGGTCCTCTTGGTGACATGACAAGTGACACTTGGGCATATAAAATTCATACTCATATCGAACCATTACACCCCTCAGGGCTATAATCACAATCATACCCCGCAGGCCATAATCACATTTCACCAATTATGCCCCCAAGTACACTTCGTACATGTACCAATCAACCCCAAAGTATTTAGCCCAACGTATACGTAGAGGTCAACCGATAGCATTGACAGAATTTCATATAAATCAGAATAATCAATAAGAATACAAAATTTTAAATAATGAAAGAACACTCTTTAAAAAGAGATTTAAAAGACAGGAGCATATTGTATACTACCCCGCACCTCAAATGACTTCGATAGATATGAATTTCAAAATACCCCGAACAAAATATTTGAATTTGATAATGATCTGAAATAAAATCACCGCTCAATTTTTAACCCCAAAATCTCATGAATTTTTTTTTCTTCTATTCTATTCTATTCTCTCTCTCTCTCTCTCTTCCCTTTCCTTTCTTTTCTTTCTCTCCCTTTCTTTCTTCTCCTTGTGCATTGTTTGAAGACCCAAATACAGGCTATTTATAGCCATGCTTGCTTGGTCCCCAAGCATTTCATGGACACTTGTCCATGTCTTTTACTTCACCTTTCTCCTTTTTTTTTTTTTTTGAATTTGAGCACATGATAATTGACTCATACTCTTATATTTGGACACCTATATATATGTATGTGTATATAAATATATTACACCTTTATTATATCATTGGAATAACACATCATTTTTAACTCAAAATATGACCAGTATTATAGTTATTCGATCCGTTTTCACATAAAAAATTTCTATTTGAAGTCTATTTATTTATTTGAAATTTCTAAAAATCACCCTTAATTATATAGAATCATAATTAATGACCTAATTAAATAATTAATTTATATACGGGTCGTCACAGATAACATATGAAGTGACAAAAAAAAATAGTCACAGTGGCTTAACAAGTAAGGCATAGAAGAGAGAAATTACCAATAACAAAATAAAAGAGAGAGAAACAGTTGACAATGTGTGAACAGTACTTCAGTTAGTGGGATCATAAGTGAAGAGATCATATTTGTTGTGCTATTAGAAAAACAAGTCAAGAAAACTTATAAAAACAAAAGAAGAACACATGAAAAGACTAGAGAGAAATTAGGAGGAATCCTTTATCAGTTTCCTTCAATTACGGACATAATATATGGCAGAAAATGTTGCATTGAATATGTTAACATACACAATTTCTGTAGGTATTTGAATATATATGCGGGGTTACAGGTTCCTTTGGGAGGGAGATATATGAAGGGCTAATGGTCTATTTGATATATTATACAAAAAAAAAAAAAAGGGAATATGAGCAAAGAAGATAAAAAAGAGAAGAGTTGTTTGATTAGTAGATGGAAGCGCTAAATTATGTTCAGAGTTTATGGGATTTGAGAGGAGATTGTTCTTGATTCATTGGTATTCACTTTCATTGGGCTCAAATGACGAGGTAAGTAATTTATTGCACACTATGCAACATTGTTTAAATCTCTTTGCAAAAAGTTTGTTTCTTTATTGTCGACATTGAATTTTAATTGATTGTTCAACTATTAATTTTTTATGTTTGTTCAAATGTGTCGTATTTGTTGTGTTGAAGATATTTTTGTTGCTGGACTGTTTGGGTTGTATTGACACATTCGTCGGGCGCATTCACCGGCAAGGTTATGGAATTAAGATGTGTATATGGCTCTGAGGGGTGTGTGTCAAAATGAAATGTATCGAGTAATGCCTAGCATGTAACTGGGACGAACTAAGTACGAAGCCACGAGTGATTTAAAGGATTGGACAATTGGATTTTGTATGATTTATGAAAGAGATTTGTGATAAGTGTTCAATTTATTATATGTTTATGCGGTTGGTTGTTCGATTATTGTTTGATCATTTGTCATCGTATATTGTGCTATAAATTACTTACTGGGCCTCCCAAACTCACCCACATTAACCTCTCCCAGATGCGAGTTGAATTCAGATAAAAAAAATATTGGAATAGTGAAAGAATGGAGACTGAAGTCATAGCAGTCAATTTTGGGAAATTATATTAATTCCTTTGAGCTTTTTAGTGCTCTATATTTTTTGTTCAATTTAACAGTAATTGAGATTACAAATGAACATAAAAAATCAACAATTGAACAATCAATCGGAATCCAACGACGATAACAATAAAACAAACTCATTGCAAAGAGATTTAAATGAGAATGCATATTGTACAATCCTCCCAAATCCCATAAAAAAATTCGGACGTGATTTAGCCCCTCCATCTTTTGATCAAATAACTCTCCTCTTCTTCATCTCCTAGGCTCACATTTTGTCTTTTTTTTTGTCTATATAATATGTCAATTATGAGCCCTTCATTTCTCGTATGGCATCTCTTTCTTTCTCCCTCCCTCCCTTCCAAAGGAACCCATAACCCCCTTATATATATTTAGAGCCGTACGAAAATTATGTATGTTATTTTTTTCAAGGCACCACTTTCTGTAATATATCATGCCATAATTAAAGGAAACTGATAAGGGATTCCATTTAATTTCTCTCTATTTTCTTCAAGTGTTTTCCTTTTGTTTTTGATAATTTTTCTCTTGACTTATTTTCCCACTAGTACCACCCATTTGATCTATTTACATTTGATCCCAGTAACTAAAGCACCGTTGATACGTTGCCAGTTAGTTCTTTTTTTTTATTGGTAAGTTCTCTCTTATGCTCTTTATTTGTTAAGCCACTATTTACGATCAATTTTCTCTCTTCACATGTTATCCCACAAATTCAAGCACCTTTGACCCATTGATATATATATATATAGGGTTATCACACAGAGAATCTGTGAGAACACCATATTCTACCTTTTTTGCTTCATTGGTAGCAACCTATATGGATCATAAAGCATAAGATGTGTGCCCTGTTAGACCAAATTTACTCGTGATACTTGAGAAACACATAGGAGCTTAAAATTCTAAGACTGTTTTCTAGCTATGATGGTTCTTACTAATATAGGATATCAATCAAATAGAACATAAAATCATTAGATCAAACAAACCAAGGAACCAATAAACCTTATTTGTTCCTTCCTTTAACCAAAGTCAGTCAGTTAAATATCCACAAAAATGAAGACACAATTTTTTTAAAGGGACAGAAAATTATTGCAATACAAATATAGAGCAACTCCTTCAACAATTAAGAGCTAAATGTCAAGAAGAGTAAAGCAGATAACAGAACCACTTACAAGAATGGAATGAAAACTTCGAGAGTCAATTACATTGTGTCACAAAGGAAGAAGCCAATTCTAGTTGCAAACCATGAGTGGAAAAGATTATGCAATCACTGATATGTCCCCACTCCCCACACAAAGGCAGTGGATATAGATAGTGTCAAGTCAAATGTTAGAATAACAATTACAGATAATACCACGAAAAGTTACCGAGAGTACACAAGGCTTTTGAGCAACGGCACAAGGAGACTATTATATTCTACATAGGAAAGGGTAGACCTCTTCCAAACTAAAGCAACGATAAATCAAATCTCCTTTTATGTTAACTTTTCAGTCTTAATATGAACAATGAGAAAGACAAAGAAGGTGCTTAAAATTCACTTTCTAATACGACTCAGCACCTTGAAAGCCATGTCCGCATTAAACATAATGATATGTCGCTATGTATTGGAGATGTTACTCCAAATAATAGATCATATATATGGAAGTCAAAATAGTACAAAGAAACACAAAAAAGAAATGAGTCTATGACAAAATGTCCTCCCTCCCTAATACCATACTACCACCAAGTGCCAAGCAAGTATTATTTCAGGAGATAATGACTTCTACTCAAAAAAAAAAGCATATATCATAAACATTCGTCTATCAAATTACAAGAACTTCCAGTAAACAGGATACATACAAGTGCGATGACAGCAAATTGATAGCTAGTGATGAAAACAATGTTACCGCAAGGCGTGTGCAGTCTATCACTGCATTAAGGTTCACATTTATAGTTTGTCTCCATGAACCAGAACCAGAACCATCAGTTTGATCTTTATGGAATGGCACTGGATTTCCAATGCCTGCACTGTTAATGCATATGTCCAAGCCTCCATATGTCTCCAAGTGCTTTTTAAAAGTAGCATTCAGTTCTCCTGTTTAAAGTAGGAAAGATTAATGCAATTTTTCAAAACATCACTACATATTATATTGCAGAATTATTCTTTGTAGAAAGACAAGCACAACACAATAGAATTAATCATGAATAATGAAAAAGGACACTTATATCTGTTTATAAACAACTTTTATCTTGGTGCGTATGGCAATAAAGTTGCAATCAAAATTTTGATCTTATCACTCCGGTGAGTTCTGTAGCACAATTAGACATCCCCAATGACACATTATCACAGACAAGCAGTCTCTAGCTAATAATGTAAATGTTAATCACTTAGAAGTTTGAGTGAGATACCATGGGAGCAAAACAACCACTCGTTGGTTCTCCATATGACTGAGAAACTTCCAATTATATATCATTTTTCAGTTCCTTGAATCTCCACCTTAAACCAAGCATAATATAAGCTATTGAGAATGCGAAGTGAGTCAAATATAAAGATCATGACTACATCAAAATCAAAGGCCGCACATGTTTGTGATTATAGCTCCAAATTCAAAAGTGTGTTTGCTATGAAAATGCAAGGCTTTAAAGAGTACAAAGAAATAGCAATGCATATTTATCACATGAACTGGCCATGGACACTAAATATGACTACAAAAAGATAGGACACACCACTATTCATTGCAGAGACATAACAGTGAACTTGATGATACAATTTACTATTTCATGTAAATATAGTCACTGTAGAAAATTAGTTGCATCTCCATCTCAAGCCTTGTAAACAAAGCGAGTGCTGAATTTTTTTTTTCACGTCATGAATACAAAACTTCACTCACTTGTATTTGAAACATCACATCTTATAAACATAGCAGTCGGAAATTCCAACTTTGGATGAAATTTGGCGTTCTCCTTTTCAGCAAGGGATGAAACTTCCTTTCCCCTCTCTTCAGAGAAATCAACAACAGTAACAAAAATTCCCTTCTGTGCGAGAGCCAAGCTAAGAGCTCTGCCTACATGTGAACCACCACAACACATACATATTACATATATATGTGAATTGTATCCCTAAATCAACAAAAACGGTGGACATGGAAGAAAGAAATTGAAAAGAAGATAAGAAAGATACATGTCATATACATATGAATTGGATCCATGTATCAACACAAACAGTGGATATGGAAAGCAAGCAATTGAAAAGAAAAAGAAGATGCGAAAGATGCCTATTGTTCCTCGCCCATACTTATAGATATGAACTTTTATCTCTGAAATCTACATGTTACACATATCCATACTCATAGATACTCAATATGGAAAAACAAGAAATTGAAAAGAAGAGAAAGATACATATTATACATACATATGAACACAACCAATGGATACA